GGATTCAAACCTGCCAGCTCAGGTGTATGTGGCTAGAGCCTTAGCCAGTTGAGCCACAGGCGCCAGGCCAGCTCATATAGTCTTGCTAGGAGAAGCAAGTGACAGCCTCAGCTCTGAGTGCTTTCCATGGACCAATCATTTAATCTGCACCTCAATCCTATGAGGTCAGTACTGTTACTATCCACATTTTATAGATGTGGGAATAGAGGTACAGAGAGATAGTGACTTGCTCAAGTCGCAGCACCAGCAAGTGGTGGAGCTGGGATGTGAACCCCATTGTCTGTGCCCTGGGAGGGGGAGGAGCAGCTCCTCAGGGTGGTGTGTGGAAGAGGGCCAGAGGTGCATTGCTTAGGCTGGGGAGTGGGCAGGTCACTAACTCACTGAACATGGCCTTTAGCCTCAGGAAACAGGTAATGAAGCTGTCAAACTTTATGATCATGTCATCATCTGCATACCTGGCCACCAGTACCTGCAGCACCTTGTTGTTCACCTTGATGCCTGGGAGACAGAAAAGTGGGGAGGGGAAAAACCCAGCCCTCTGGCCAATGCCACCCTCTTCCCTGCCCCCAAACTCTCTCCTGAACCCTGGCCACCTGCTTTATCAATAGCCAACCACATCTCGTAAGAGTTCAAGGTTCCTGAGTGGTCCAGGTCACATTCTCTGAAGATGTCCTGAATAGACAGACAGGTGTAGTAGGCCATGTGCATGGCATGGTGGTTGAACTAATGAAATACTTTAATATGGTTGGTTCACAGCAGCTGCCCAAGACCTCATACCCCTTCCCACAGCCCATGGGGCTCCCAAAAATGCTATCATCAGGTGACTGAAGGTTCAGTCCAAGCACAGCGGGGAGCCTCTCATACCCTGCCCAGTGCTCTCTGCCTGCATCCTTCATGACTGGTTGATATCTGGGCTGTGCCGGTTATTAATTTTTTTTTTTTTTTGAGACAGAGTCTTACTGTGTTGCCCTCAGTAGAGTGCCATGGTGTCACAGCTCACAACAACCTCCAACTCTTGGGCTTAAGCAATTCTCTTGCCTCAGCCTCCCAAGTAACTGGGACTACAGGCACCTGCCACAAGGCCCAGCTATTTTTTTGTTACAGTTGATTAGCTGGCCCGGGCCAGGTTCACACCCACCACCCTTGGTGTATGTGGCTGGCGCTATAACCACTGTGCGATGGGTTCCGAGCCTGGTTATTAAATATTTTGATTAGCTAATATACCAACACCCCAACAGACCTCTTTCCTGCATGTGTGTGTAGTTGGGGGTTCAGTTCTAGCTGCCCCCTTATTCCTCCCATTTTTCTGAAAGCTCTCCTTTTTTTTTTTTTTTTTTTTTGGCCAGGGTGGGTTTGAACCCGCCACCTTCAGCATATGGGGCCGGCGCCCTACTCCTTTGAGCCAGAGGCGCTGCCCTTTAAATCTTTATTTATTTATTTGTTTTTTCAAAGCCCTCCTACCCCTCAGGGCCCTTTACCGTCCATTTCTTGATTTTTTTCCACAGCACCTGGAACTCTAGAAGTCCCAGCTTGCCAGAGCCGTCTTTCTGGGAAGTAGTCAGGGATAGCAGAAAAGGGAGTGGAGAGGGTGTACTTGGAGGCAGGGAGGCAGGGAGGCAGGGGCTCACTGAGGGGTGAGCCCTCACTAAGACCTGGTGTTCCCATTGATTAACAACTGGGAAAATTGGCATCTTCTGTCACCCAGAGCCTAATCCCCACCAGGAAGAGGGCATGGCTGGCCAGGGGTGGCTCAGAGGGCAGGCTGGGGATCAGGGGCTTGGGTGGAAGGGTCCCAGGCAGGACTGCCCACTGAATAGGAAGAAGATACATCCATGGTGTTGATCATGCAGCGGCAAGCATCCACGCCAAAGTCCTGGCTCCTGATGCTTTTGACTGTGAGGAAGGGAAGAGGGAGAAGCAGGAGACAGAGTGAACAGGGTATCGTGGGGAACGTAGGGAATGATGGAGATGGGCATGGCGTCTGGGAGGGGCTGCGGGTGTTGGGGTAGAAGACTCACGTTTGGAGACCATCTTGTTGAGCAGCCTCCGCAGTTGAAATACACCTAGCTCCTTGCCCTAGGAGGGGGTTCCGTGAGCCGCGCACTGGCCCCTTGGCCCTGCATCCACCCCCGTCAGTCCTCAGCCGTGGCCCACTAACCTCTCCTGCCACTATCTCAAACAAATGTATGAATTCCTTGTCCATTTCTTTCTCAGAGGGTTCCTCCTGGGGGGAAGGGTGCAGAGAAGGACCAGTCCAGAAGATGCCTTCATACCCCCCTGACGCTTCCTTCCCACCCCAAAGCCCACAACCTCCCCTCACCTCTTGGAGCTGCTCAGCATAGTTGACTTCATCCAGTTCCCTGGGCAAAAGCGATCAAAGGCTTGGGGGTTACCAGGGGTCAGGGAGATGGGGGTTTTGGTGGGGTGGTCCAGGGGAGGTTGTGTCATGTATCTGAAGCAACATGGAACACCTCCATGGAATCTGGGTTCTAGTTCTAGTTCTGGTTCTGCAACTAACTGAGATCTCACCTCATGCCTTAGTTTTCCTGACTGTAAAATAGGGATAAAGGAGGAGAGGACCAGATGATAGCTTCCTGAGCTTGACATCCTATAGCTCTTGGGTTGGGGCCCCGATGCAGTGAGGTATGACCCCTTACCAGGACTCGCTGTGCTTCTCTGTGAAGATCCGAAGAAGGAAGTCAGCATCTTTGTGTGGCTCGAAGGTGGAGGGAATAATGATATATTCCCCCGGTGGCAGCCGCAGTTGGTTGCTTACCTCCCTCGAGTTGGCAAACATCTCTGAAAAGCCGAGGTCCTGGTACTTCACGAAGAAGTCCCTCTTCAAGTGGACATCCTGAATGTTCTGAAACTATATGTACTTGGAGGTGGGTACAGGACTGGCTTGGGTGGTCAGGCAAAGAGGCCTCCCAAAGGGTGGGCAGGGTTGGGGGTAAGTATCTCCAGCAACTGGCCTGGACTCCACTCAAGTGGCAGGCAACCTCGATATATAACCTTTCCCAGTCCCCTACCAGGTCCCAAAGGGGCTGGAATCCTAAAGCATGCCCCCCAGAACCTTTTACCAAATCCCACCCCTTGCCAATTCACATGCAGCCAGGGGTAGGGTGGGTCCCTGCCCAGGAACAAGCCCCATGCCTTCATCTTCTATACCTCCTTTGGGACCTGGGAAGGGAAGAGAGAGGAGGATCAGACCTCTAGAGTGTGTGGGGGAGAGTTATTAAGGGCACTGAGACACTGGTGGTGGGGTGAAGCATGGGCCCTGGCATGAATAATCCATCAGGCTGGACATGGTGGCTCATGTCTGTAAACCCAGCACTTTGAAAAGCCAAGGTGGGAGGATTGCTTGAAGCCAGGAGTTCAAGACAACATAGCAAGACCTTGCCTTCACCAAAAAAAGAAAAATAGGATCTCTCAGCTTTGGATAGTGAAATACAGTTTACACATTCTGGGCTCTATTTTTATCACTGCAAGTTAACAAATGAAAACAGAGGCTGGGCCTCGGTGGCTTATGCCTATAATCCCAACATTTTGGGAAACTGAGATGGGCGATTGCTTGAGCTTAGGAGTTCAAGACCAGCCTGAGCAAGAGCAAGACCTCATCTTCACTAAAAATAGAAAAGTTAGCCAGGCCTTGTGGCAGGGGGCTATAGTCCCAGCTAGTTGGGAAGCTGAGACATGAGGATCACTTGAGCCAAGGAGTTTGAGGTTGCTGTGTTGCTATGAGCTATGATGACGCCCTGGCACTCAGCCCCAGGGCAAAAGAGTGAGCCTCTTTCTCAAAAATAAATAAATAAATAAATAAAAATTAAAAATAAATAAATAAGGAAAAGGGAACAGAATCCCAAAGAGGGAGGAGATTGCCTCCTCCCACCTACTAAAAAATGAGAGAGCTGAAATGGAACTCTAGGAGACCATTTTCCAGGATGCTTTTCCATGGGACACTCATATCTTATAGGGAGTCAATAAGGGATTATTGAAGCTGAGGATTTGAGGACAAATAAGTTTGTAAAAAGATAAGTTAAACCAAGTGAAATAGTTCACTCTATTGCAGGGATGGATTGTCAGCATCTTTAATATACCTCGTGTGCACTGTGGAGCTCCGGCTAGAGGACAGCCTTTCCTGGCCTTATTTAACTTTGAAAATGTTGTCTTGGCTCAGTGCCTGTGCCTCAAGTGGCTAAGGTGCCAGCCACATACACCTAAGGTGGCAGGTTCGAATCCAGCCCGGCGGCCAAACAACAATGACGGCTGCAACCAAAAAATAGCCAGGTGTTGTGGTGGGCGCCTGTGGTCCCAGCTACTTGGGAGGCTGAGGCAGGAGACTCACTTGAGCCCAGAGTTGGAGGTTGCTGTGAGCTGTGATGCCACAGCACTCTACCCAGGGGGACAGCTTGAGGCTCTGTCTCAAAAAAAAAAAAATTGTTGTCTTGAGGCATGTTACTCCTAGGCCTGGTGAACTCATGGCCCAGGAGGAAAGCAAGGCTTGTGTCTGTTTTTGCTCATCATTGAACTCTTGGAGTCTGGACAGGAGCCTGGCATACAGTGGTGTGCCATAAAATACTTGTTTATATAAGCGAATGTAAGTGGATGAACAAGTGGCCATTTCTAGAATTTTGCAAAGCATAGTTTGGCATGGGAAATGCTTCTCAGGGATTTTTTTTTTCTTAAGAGTCTTACTTTGCTGCCCCAGACTAGAGTGCCCTGGGGTCAGCCTAGCTCACAGCAACCTCAAACTCCTGGGCTCAAGCGATCCTTTTGCCTTTGCCTCCCAGAGTGCTAGTATTATAGGCATGAGTATCATATGCTGGCTGATCAGGAATTTCTTTCTTTCTTTTTTTTTTTTTGCAGTTTTTGGCCGAGGCTGGGTTTGACCTGCCACCTCTGGCATATGGGGTCAGCGCCCTACTCCTTTGAGCCATAGGCACCGCCCTGATCAGGAATTTCTTTTTGCTCCTGGAATGAGTGCTGGTGGTGGGATGGCTGAGGGGACACTTTCAGGGGAATTTGGAGAAGTCTCAGAGTTTCTGGGAATTAGGAGACCTTTAACCTTCGGAAGTATGAGCTTGGGTAAGTGGCCTCACCTCTCTTGCCCTCAAGCTCCTTCCTCTTCCTCAAAGGCGTCAGTATTCCTAAGGCCTTTGGAACAATGTCTGGCACAAAGAAGTGTGTCAGCTAAGTGTAACAGATGAAAAACTCTGGGAAAGGAAAACTGCTGGCCCTGTCCCAAAAAGCACAAAGCACAATCGTCTTGGCACTGTTGCTCATGCCTCTAATCCTAGCACTTTGCGAGGTTGAGGTGGGAGGATGATGTGAGGCCAAGAGTTCAAGACCATCCTGGCCACATAGTGAGACCCAGCTCAATGAAACTTTTTAAAATTAGCCAGACATGGTGGCACATGCCTGTAGTCCCAGCTACTTGGGTGGCTGAGGCAAGAGGATCACTTGAGCCCAGGAGTCTGAGGTTGCTGTGAACTATGATGACACTACTGCACTCTAACTTGGGCAAAAAAGTGAGACCCTGTTTCAAGAACGAAAGGAAAAAAAAACAAAAGCACAAAGTACCACTCAAGGGTCAGGGCTATGGAGCCTGCTGACATGTGTCCCATTCCCAGCTGGGCAGTGGCCCTTGTGAGCAAGGATTGTAAAGGGGAAGAGACCAGATGAGGGAGTGAGAGTGGCCTGGTAAGCCAGGTGCCCACCGTGAAGATGACAAAGCCAATGCTCTGCAGCTGGGCCCCCTCAGGCTTTGCATGCCGCCAGTTCTTCTGCATCAGGGCCACCAGGCAGGTGCAGACGACTGGATTGTCCTCTAAGTCATCATCTGGGTCGTCCTCCTCAGGGAGAAAGATCTTAAACTGGGGGTTGGTCCAGAAGGTACCTGTGAAGAAAGCAAGTCAGGATGATTATGCTGGGGAAAGTCCGGGACAACACCCTTCCCAGGGTGGACCAGGTTTCCCTAGCCACAGGTCTGTCCCTCCGCAGTAGGCAATGGGATCTGAATGACCCCTGACCTCATGCACCCTGATCCCCGTGACCGTCTGCCCCCAGCCTGGTTTTGTGGTGAGTCTGTGGTCCCTCTCATGCTCTCGGTCCCCCTGGACCCCTGCACCCACTGGGGTGGTTCCTGCAGCCCCCCGCGGTGCTGCCTCTGCGCCAGCGGCCCTCAAAGTAGGTTGTGTGCCAATAGCTCTTGCTGTCCCCAGACAGCGCGTCAGGTGTGAGGTTGCAGACCTCCAGGAGAGAGAAGTTGCTCAGGAAATCTTCGTAGGACATCCTGTGGTGGGGTGGGGTTAGAGCCTGTCAGCAGCACAGTCGTGCCTGCAGGCCTCTGCCCATGAAAGTCCCCCAGAACTTCCCCATCTGAGACACAGTGGGGAGGGTGATGGGAGAGGAAGAGTGGGGCATGGGGGGAGTAGGAAGCCCACTCAAGCCACACTGACCAGAACTCCCCATCCTCCTTCTTGTGCAGCAGCTTTATCTCAATGTCTCGGGCCACCTCTTCCCACTCCCTAGAGCTGGAATAGAGACAGGTCAAGGAAGGAGAGGGATGAGGGGTCAGGGACACCTCTTTCCTCCCCGTGAGACTCCCTTGGCCCTGAATGGTTGCCCACTGAGGTCCTGAGCTAGATGGAGAATCTAGACGGAGGGCTGCCCTGGTGCACTGTCTTCACAGACCAGACACCCTCAGTCTCCCCATAGCACTGCCTTGCTCAAGGAGTCTGTTGTGTTTCTGGCCCACTCCTCTCCTACCTAGGTCAAGGAGACCCACTTGTCACTCCATGCTCCGGTCCACTCAATCCGACCCCAGGGATTCCGGACCCGAATCAGTGTTTCCATCTTGCCTCTGTAGGTGACCTGGGGGAGGGGGTTATAGGTCAGGGCATGGGGTCAAGGGGTCGTGACCCTCAGGCTAGGGCATTGAGCTGTCAGAACTTACATCATGAAGGCCAGTCACTGAGTAAGCATGGCCTCTAACCAGCTTCTTCTGGGTCATTGATTCCAACTCAGTGTCGTTGGCGATCTATAGAGCAGAAGGAAGGGCAGGCTTTCAAGGTCTGATCAGAGGGACAGGAGCACATGAAGATGTGAACTCTGAAGGTCTTTTTTTCTTTTTTCTAAAAAACTATTACAGTTATTTTGAAATAATTGTGGGCTCACATGCAGTTGTGCCAAGTTTCTCCCGGAAGTTAACATCTGACAAAACTATGGTACAGTATCGAAACCAGGAAGCTGATATGGATAACGTGCCCCCCCCAGCTTTATACAGATTGCCCTAGTTTTACTGGTGCTCACTTGTGTGTATTCTATGCAGTTTCATTACATGTGTAGTCTTGGGTAACAACCTACACAGTAAAGACCTAGGTCATTTCGGTAACCACAAGCATTCTTCCTTGTGTTGCCCTGTTATAACCACTACTCCTCACTATTCCCCTCCCCTACCTCCCGACAACCAAAAATCTGTTCTCCATCTCTATTATTTTGTCATTTCAAGTCACATAAATGGAATCATTTTGTGATCGGGTTTTTCATCATTCAGAATAATTCCCTTGAGAGCCATCCTAGTTCTTGCACATATCAACAGTTCATTCCTTTTTATTGCTGAGTATTACTCCACGATAGGTAATCACCACAGCTAGACACCTAGGTTGTTTCCCATTTTTGGCCATTATGAATAAAGTAGCTATAAACATTTGTGCACAGGCATTCTGGGGGCACAAGTCTTCATTTCTCTGGGGTAAATGCCCAAGAATGCAATTGCTGGGTCATATGGTAGCACTATAGGTTCATTTATTTATTTAAACAAACATTTGCCGGCTCGGCACCAGTAGCTCAGTGGTTAAGGAGCCAGCCACATGCACTGGGGCTGGTGGGTTCAAACCCCACCCCAGCCTGCTAAACAAACAAAAATAGCTGAGCTTTGTGGCAAGCGCCTGTAGTCTCAGCTACAAGGGAGGCTGAAGCAAGAGAAGCACTTGAGCCCAAGAGTTTGAGGTTGCTGTGATCTGTGACGCCATAGCACTCTACTGAGAGCGACATAGTAAGACTGTCTCAAAACAAAACAAACAAACCAAAAAAAACAAACATTCGTTGGGTGCCTATTGGATGCTAGGTTCCTTCCTAACATGTATGGTCTAGCAGTGAATGAGACGAATAAGGTCACTGTCCTCATAGAATGTAAATGGTCTGGAGACGATGGGCTTAGATACATAGATACCCCAGATAACTTCAGGTCATGATAAATGTTGAGGAGAAAATCAAAACTAAGTAAGAAAGAAAAGAAAAGAGGCGGGGGTGGCTACTTTAGACTGGGAGGCAGGGAAGGCTGGTCTCAGGAGGGAACAGTAGAATTGTGACGGGAGGGACAAGGAGCTAGCATGCGAGCATGCAGGAGCCTTCTGGGGAAAATGCAACAGCAGGTGCAGAAGCCCTGAGGCAAGATCATGCTTGGCTTACTTCGATGGAGCAACCCATGAGGGAGGATCGAGCCATAGCCTTTCTAAGGAGCCTCAGCAGGTCTTGAGGGGGGCTCTGGAGCTGGAAGTTCTGGGCCACACCCCCGGTGAAGTCCTCAAAGCCCTCCATTGTGCTGCCCCCAGACAGTGCTTCATAGGACCCGCTCAACCTGTGGGCACAGAGGGACCATTGTTTGGGCTTGTGATGGAGGCACAAGCATGGACAGCAGAGGGTACGGTGAAGATGTGTCCTGCCTGCCCCCCACCTCTTCCCCTGATTCCAGCTGTCCTTGGCTCCCAGGACTCACTTGGCATATGCTTTCTCCAGCAGGGCACCCCAGAACTCAGAGTGCTCAGGTGAGTGTAGGAACACCAGCTTGTTATTCTTGGTGGGCAGCCGGTCATCCACCACTACGTCCACCCACTGCCCAAACTGCCAAATCTGTGGGCAGCAAGGGTGCCTCAGTGGGGCAAGGGCATCTGTCTGCCCCCGCCACACACATAAACTCATACATGTGCTCACACGATGCACACCCCCCTTGCTGTCCAAGCGCACCCCCTTGCTGTCCAACCTTGTTGTCCAAGCGCCTCCTGGTGGCCAGGCCAACAACACACCCAGTGTCAAAGGTCCCATTCCCTCCTAGAGTGGTTGAGTAGTAAGAAGAAAGCAGCAAAAAGCCTGAACCTCAACACCTAGCCTCCTCTCCAGGCTCTGCTGTGGCCTGTGGGGTGACCCAACCCATTTCTTAACCCATTTCCTAACCCAACCCGTTAGTTAAGACTCTGGGATCTCTGAGGTCTTAAAAACTTGCGTGATTCCCAGAAAGGCCACAGTTATTTTCTTTTTGGGCTTAAAAGAATTAGCTTAGGGCAGCGTCTATGGCTCAAAGGAGTAGGGCACTGGCCCCATATACTGCAGGTGGCAGGTTCAAACCTGGCGCCAGCCAGGAACTGCAAAAAGAAAAAAATAAATAAATAAAAAGAATTAGCTTACATTGTTTCCTTGGTGAGCAGATATTTCTCTAATATTATAATTAGACAGGCCCCACCCCCAATAAATGCTGTTTTTCAAAAGACAAAAGGTAAGCTTCAAAGCACAAATGAAGTTCTTTTTCTCTCTCCCTCCCACTTGTTCACACACACAGGCACATGCACACACAGACACACTACAAAGCACTCTGGCTATCAGATTCCTCTTCACCTGGAAATGGAAGATGCCAGCATAGTCTTTTTCGAAGCTCTGCTCCTTGGGCACCACACGGTACAGCAGTCTGGGGCATGTGGTAAGGGAGCCGATGGCAGCCAGCAGCCAGCAATCTCCTGGAAAGACAGGCAGGGGGTTGCCCCCTTGAGTACCCCATCTCTGTGGGTGAGGCCCATAATCCAAGTGCTAGAGGAACAGGAGCCTGGCCTTGGACTTCGCTCTGGCCCCCCAGAAGAGATGCACCTGCACTCAGCCTTCCTTAAGGAGTGTTCAGGAAAGAGGCAAACAGGGAAAGCCAGAGGGCAGAGCTCTGGGGAGGTGCATTCCTGTGCTGTTTCTATTGCAGAGAGATTCCCAAATTACAGTCACATGCTTTTGCTTTTTTGGAGTTCAGGGAGAGGGGTATTTTGGGCCTCAGGGTCTTGCTCCCCATCCTGGAACCTGCTTTCTTTGGGAGAGAGCTGGTACTCTCCCATCCCTTGAGCAAATCCAGTCACTTTCCCACACTGGTATATGCTGGTATGGCCATGAAAGTCCCAAGACATCTCTCTGTCATTATCACCCACATTATATTGGAGACCCTGAGCTCAGTCTACACCCCAGCGAGGTCCCTGGAGCTGGCATGGATGAGAGCTCAGGGGCAGTGTCCCTAGCCTATGAGAAAAGACCACCAGAAGTCATCCACTGCCATTTACCTGGGTGTCTCAGCCCTCTCTGGGTGATGCCACAGGCCAGGGTAGTGGGCATCCCAGACCATGCTGAGGTTGAGGGCACTGGGAGACTCCTGTGACTACCAAGTGGCCTCCTGGCTGCCTGGGAAGGCAGAGGGTGGGAAAGGAAGGGTGAGGATGCAATCCCCATTACCCTTAGGGTGCCTGAGGAGAAGCCAGTTCTCCCCTCCCAGAGCTCAGTGTTCTCCAGCCCAGTGAGCCACAGAAACAGCCCTGGGGCATGAGGTCCCCTGCCCCTTTGGCCCTGCCCACACTTTGCCATTTCTTGGCCCTAAGGAGGACAGAATTCAGTCCTAGAAGAAGTCCATCCCGGACTTCTCCATAAAGAGGTAATGAGAGGTTTGCAGAAAACCATGAAACAGGACCAGGTTCAGGGAGGAAGATCTGTCCTGGGACTATCTACAGGCATTTGCCGGAGAATGGGTTGAGGGGACCCTATGGCTCCCCTATTTGATAGGCTGGACTAAGCAGGTTTTAGCACCAGTAGTGGTTTCAAAATAAGTCCACAAATTCTTTTACCATCCTCCAATTAGAAAGATGGGCCTAATTCTCTCCCCCTTGAGTAAGGGCCAGATTCAGTGCTTGCTTCTTTAAATATAATATGGTAGAAGTTATGGTGTGTGACTCCTGAGACTGGGTCATAAAAGACATCATGGCTTCCTCCTTGTCCTCTCATTCACTTTGCAGGAGCCAGCTCCCATGTTGTGTAGACACTCAAGCAGCCCTACAGGGAAGTCTATGGCAAGGACTGAGGCCTCCTGCTGCGTGAATATGTCCTGGGAGCAGATCCATCAACCCCAGTCACACCTCCAGATGACCATAGCTCCAGCTGACATCTCTTATGCAACCTCCTCAGAGATGCTGAACCAGACTATGCTGCCTCTGAATTCTTGACCCACAAATACTGTGAGACAAGAAATGTTTGTTGTGATGGGGTGTAGGGGCTCACATCTGTAATCTAGCACTGTGGGAGGTCAATGCGGGTGGATTTTTTGAGGTTGGGACTTTAAGACCAACCTGAGCAAGAGAGAGACCCCATCTCTACTAAAAATAGAAAAAAAAATTAGCTGGGCATTGATGGGTGCCTATAGTCTCCACTACTCAGGAGACTGAGGCAAAATGATCACTTAAGCCCAAGAGTTTGAGGTTGCTATGAGCTACCATGATGCCATGGAGCTCTACCCAGGGCAACAAAGTGAAACTCCATGTAAAGAAAAAAAAAGAAAAAGAAAAAGAAAAGAAATGTTTGTTGTGACTTTAGTCACTAAGTCTTATAACTACAAATAGCCAATATATCCCTCCAGCTCACACTCAGACCTAGACTCCAGCAAGTGGGGGGCAGGGGACACATCTAGACTTGGGAAGGGCAGGGAGGGTGCCGATTCAGGTTGTCTGAACCATGGGGGTTCCTGTTTTCCAGCCTTAGAACATCCCAGAGGATCTCTTGAAGCCAGGAGTTGGAGGTTGCTGTGAGTTATGGTGATGTCACTGCAATCTAGCCTGGGCGACCCTATCTCAAAAAAAAAAAAGAAAAAAAAAAGATACCCTGCACCCTTTCCCTAGCCCTCCTCCCAGATGCACACCTCCTCACAGTAGAGACCATTTTCTTGCACCCCACTCACCAAGTATCCCCTGACAGATGTCTGTTGGAGAGATTCCATTTGCAAAGAAGCAAGGGTTCTTGGTGATTTCCTGCAGTGAAAGAATAAAGGTTTCAGGGAGCCTGGACACACCGTCCCTGCCTCCCTCCCACCTTTACTGGAGAAGGATGCTCACCTCGAATTTCTGGGGGAACAGATAAGGGAAAAGCGAGAGGGTGCAGGACCAGTGTGGCAAAACTAGATGCTGTGATAGCAAAGATTGGTTGAGTGATTTCTGAAGGATTAGCTGGGATGCTTGGCTTCAGCTAGTTTAGAACAGCCCACCCTGCACTCCTCCCATGGAGGTGGAGACTTGTGCTAGGGTCAGGATAGGTTGGGAGCGGATTGGATATTACAAAACTGACCTGGAGTTATTACAGACCCACTTCACCCACACCGCCCAATCTAGTGCCCACCTTGGGCCGCTGCCAGGAAATGTCTTGACCATTTTTGGAGGTGGGGCCTAGTTCCTTGAAGCCCAGTGAACTGGGGCTGGCAGGGAATAAGGGGTCCTCAAACAGCTGCCCGTTCTTCAGACAGACTTCGTGAAGCTTCTTAAAGTTCTGGTCGCCATAGTTGCACGCATTATGGTGTTGGCCCACACCACTGGCCTTGAGTCGACTGTTGTGTATGTGAACCACCATTCCCTTTTGTATGGTCAAAGTGAACTCCGCTAATAATAAGAAAAAGATAAATAATCCAATTAAAAATGGGATCAGTATTTCTCAGAACACATACAAGTGACTAGTAATCACCTGAAAAAGTACTCAACGTCATCAGTCAGGGAAATGTCCGTGGAAATAAAAATCAAGGCCACAGTGATATAGCACTCCACACCCACTAAGATGGCTATAACAATAAGATAGATAATAACAAGTGTTGGAAAAGATGTGAAGAAATTGTAATCCTCATATACTGCTGCATGAAAATGGTGTGGCCACTTGAGAAAATAGTCTGGCAGCTCCTTAAAAGAGTTAAAACTGTGGGAATAACATTCAACAACACAAAGTATGTTGCATGTTACAACATGGATGAGCCTTAAGAATATGCTAAGTGGGCTCGGTGCCTGTGGCTCAAGTGGCTAAGGCGCCAGCCATGTACACCTAAGGTGGTGGGTTCGAATCCAGCCCGGGCCTGCCAAACAACAATGATGGCTGCAACCAAAAAATAGCCAGGTGTTGTGGCGGGCACCTATGGTCCCAGCTACTTGGGAGGCGGAGGCAGGAGACTCGCTTGAGCCCAGGAGTTGGAGGTTGCTGTGAGCTGTAATGCCACAGCACTCTACCCAGGGGGACAGCTGGAGGCTCTGTCTCAAAAAAAAAAATAAATAAATAAATAAATTAAAAAAAATAAAAAATAACCAGGCGTTGTGGCAGTTGCCTGTAGTTCCAGCTACTTAGGAGGCAAGTTCCACTCTTGAGCCCAAGAGTTTGAGGTTACTGTGAGCTATGATGCCATAGCACTCTACCTGGGGCAAGAAAGTGAGACTCTGTTAAAAAAAAAAAAAAAAAGAATATGCTAAGTGAAAAAAGCCAGTCACAAAGAACCCCATATTATATGATTCCATTTAAATAAGATCTCTGAAATAGGCAAATCTGTATAGAGACAGAAAGGAGATTAGCGGTTGCCTAGGGCTCAGGGGAATGGGGAATTGGAGGTTGATGGCTAAAGAGTATGATCTAAGTGATCCAGAATGATCTACAATTGATTGTGGTGATGGATGCATAACTCTGTGCAAACTCTGTGCATATACTAAAAGCTATTAAATCGATACTTTAAATGGGTGAATTGTATGGCGTGGGAATTACATTTTGACGCAGCTGTTAAAGAAATGGCTTCAAGACACTCACTGCCTTTTGGAGAGAGTAGAAATAACAGCGTGTAGAGGGCATAAGAGCAGGGGGAAGAGGGTGCTGGGGATGGGGTGGGATGGGTTAGGGAATGGCAGGTGGGGGCAGGTGATTCTCTGAGTAAAAGTTATGCTGGCTGGTAGAACCTGAGCCCACCAGGTAGCTGGGGACCCAGAACTCTGTCCATACTGCTACCCCAGGAGGACTGCAACCTTCTTACATGCCTTCCTGAGGATTGCCTCACCCATCTGTACACATGAGGCTGACTCTCCCTGAGAGTGAGGGAAGAGGAAGAGGAGGCCACAGAGCTGGAATCTGTGCTTTGGGCACATGCACCCTGGAGGCCTATCCCCTCTCAGTCTCCCAAGTTCTCTCTCTCCCTATCCTAGAGCAAGAAAGAGATTGAGGGAAGGGAGGAAGATATGGTCCAAGTTAAACAGACTGGGGCCAGAGTTCGTGGGAAAGAGTCAGAATGAGGAAAGGAAAGGGGCAGCTGCAGACAGGGGTAGGAGGGTCCTGGCATTATTTAGAGGTGAGATCCCAATGGAGGCCACAGAGGAGGTGGTTTCCCAAAGGGAAGGGAGGGGTGTCTTAGTTATCCTTCTTGCCTTGAGTAAACAGAACAAGGAGACCAGTTGTGACAGCAAAGCTAACAGTACGAGGGTCTGCTCTGTGCTAGGCCACCAGCCCCATGAGATAGGTACCTGCAATACCCAGGTGACCAGAAAAGGGAGCAGAGGCCCAGGGCTTAAGTAGCTTGCCCAGTGTCACAGAGTATGTGTCAGGGGAGGAATGGAATCTGATTCAGACCCCAGACTGCCTCCTGAGGGGAAGTGCTTCTCATTTGCCCAAGGCTAGCTGAGCCAGCACCATCTTCGTTAAGTAAGGGCATCCCCAGGCCATCTGTTGCTGGGCTTATCTCTCGACACCCCTCCTTCTCTCATCACTGCCCTGAACAGAAAACCCATTCCTCTGACCAACAAGTGCCTTCTCAGGACTTCTCTAGGTCCAGTAATGACTCCATGTCTTCCCAGTCCATCAAGTTCCCAACATACCTGTGTTCCACATCTGAACAGTCACTGAGTCCTTCACAGGAAGTCACATCATGGGACCCTAGTTTCCCATTGCCACCATTGCTGTTTTAGGCCAGGGCCTCTAGATACCCATTAGATCCCAAATGGCCTCTTAACGACCTCCTCCAATCATCCCATATGCTGCCCCTGCCGCATGCCGACATCAACTTCCTTTGAGTGAGGTTTTGAAGCTCTTACTTCTTTTGGTACCTTCCAGGACATTATTTAGCCAGTAGGATAAAGCCAGTCCCCAAGGCCTCCTCCAGCCCTGGGTCCACCACTGGTAGAAAGCTATCCCCTTACCCCTCGTCAGTGTTGCAGTCCAAGGGAGACTTTGCCCATCCAAACAGCTCTCCTAAGCCCTGCATCCCAGAAGAGACGGTCCCCACAGCGGTCTCCTTCATTCCCTCCTGCCAGTCTCCACCCCAGCATCTCCAATTCCAAACTGAGTTCATTTTCTTCCTCTCACCTCTTCCAAGCCAGAGATGTGGGGATCTTCCTAGAGCCTCCCTTCACTATATCCCTCAATTAATTGTCACTTGTGCTCCCTTAGCCTCTCTCTTGTCCTCCTCTTCCTCCTCTGCACTGCCTGTGATGGGGTAGCCCAGATGTGAATCCACATCACAGGTACAGTAAGTGTGTAAGTATGTGGATTTGGAAGCCAACCATCCCCTAACAGCATCGCCTCATACACACATTGCTTGATCTTCCCCCTGCCTTGGCTTCTCCATCTGGGGAATAGGGTGATGATATTCTATCTAAGGCATTTGCAATGGTTTTTGGCACAAAATTTACTCAAGAAGTTAACCTTAAATATAGGCTGGGTTCTTAACTGGCACCTTTCCTCAAACCTCCTCCTTCCCCATTGGTACTCCAGTATTGGTTGAGATTTTTAAAAAGCAAATCTGATTCGAGATAGCCCTCTCCCCATACTTGGAATGGCTCTCCCCTTGTTAGCATGAACACAAGCCCTGACCAGGCTGCCTTCCTGTACAGATGCCTCGTTCCTCAATGGCATCCCTGTGCCTCTGCAATCCTTCCTGACCTCATCCATATACCATATCCAGTCTCGGCTCAGTGCCTCCTCTGGGAAACCTCCCTTGATGTATCTGAGCAAAGCTTGGGGCTGCCCTGGCATCTGACACTTTTGTTGACACCCATCACTGCCTCCCTCCTCTGAGTTAATCTGTCTCCTTCCTCTTTCTTACATAGTACCTGGCCTCCCGGTGGGGGACACAAAGGCTTTTGATAAGGGAATGAATGAATGTATCACTTTCCATTGTAGACATTTTTCTTTTTCTTTCTCTCTTTCTTCTTCTTTTTTTTGAGACAGAGTCTCACTTTGTTGCCCTTGGTAGGGTGCTATGGCATCACAGGTCACAGCAACTTCCAACTCTTGGGCTCAAGCGATTCTCTTGCCTCAGCTTCCCAAGTAGCTGGGACTACAGTGCCCGCCACAACGCCCGGCTATTTTTAGAGACGAGGTCTCACTCTTGCTCAGGCTGTTCTTCAACTCCTGAGCTCAAGCAATCCACCTGTCTTGGCCTCCCAGAGTGCTGGGATTATAGGCGTGAGCCACCTTGCCTGGCCCCGTTGTAGACATGGTTCATGTTTCCTCTCTCCAGTTCCTGCCCTATTCCCTGTCTCGCTAGCACCTGACCTCCCTTATGCACGATAGCTCACAAGGGCAGGGATTTTTGTCTGTTTTGCTGAGGCTGCAGTCCTGCTACTGTATCGCGCACAGACTAGGTGTTCAACAAATACTTTGAAAAATATTTCCTGGAAGCTCTGGAAGGGTAGAGTTTGTATTTCTTAGTTTCTTAGTTTCTCCCACAGAAAGACATCCTGATAAGCTTCCTAGAAGGGGTGTGTGGGCAGGTGGCTTGTCTCCAGAGTCCCAATTTGGTTAGGGGGAGTCCCTAGCAAGATACATCTCGCAAAAGATTCTGGTAAATGGTAGGACCCACAGACTCCAATCCAGCACTGCCCTCATACTCCTGCCTAGACTGGGGACTGAAAAGAGCTCAGCTCTGCCCAGGGAAGCCAGAGTGTCAGTGTGGGGAATGAGCAGAGGACCTGACCACAGCATACTGGTGTCTCTGGGGTCCCTTTGGGCTCCCTGGCTCCTGAGGCTCCTGGCTCCCACTAAGAAAAGTTTGTTGGTCTTAAGAATCAGATTGGGGGCAGTGCCTGTGGCTCAAAGGAGTAAGGCGCCTGCCCCATATGCCAGAGGTGCCAGAAGTTTGCCCCAGGCAAAAACTGCAAAAAAAGAGAAAGAATCAGGTTGGAGGGCCAGGAGTGGTGCCTTGCACCTGTATTCCTAGCACTCTGGGAGGTTGTGATGGGAGGATCCCTCAAGCTCAGAAGTTCCAGTCCTGCCTGAGCAAAAGCAAGACCCCCACGTCTATGAAAAATAGAAAAATTAGCTGGGTGTTGTGGCAGGTGCCTACAGTCCCAGCTACTGGGGAGGCTAAGGCAGGTTTAACTTGCTTAAACCCAGGAGTTTGAGGTTACTATGAGCTAAGCTGACACCATGGCACTCTAGTCTGGGCAAGAGAATGAGATTCTCTCAAAAAAAAAGCATCAGGTTGGAGAAAGACCCAGATCCTATTCTTTACTTCTTCCATAGAACCCATGTCTTGAGATGAGAAGATATTAGGAATTGTCCCTCGGTTATAAGAGTATCTAACACTTACATACCATTTATAAGAATAATAATAGTTA